AAAAAAAAAAAAAATGAGGACTAGGGAGCATCTCCAGTAGGTGAGGAAATAAATAAGAAATAGGCATTCACTAGGCAGTAGGCAGGTGGGGCTTTCCACAAGAGGAGACAATGGTATTATGAATATTTGAGTTTTTTGCAACTGTACTATGATTTGCTCTCCAGGCATTAAATGTCAGCACTGTCAACAATATTTTATTTGTTAATATACTCCTCTAAAAAATAAGATAAATAAAATGGATATAGATCATCAGAGCCATAAAAATAAAGAAGAAATAAATAAGTATTAGTATCTTTAAGCTTGCTAAGAAGCCAGGGAAAAAGAAGAAACTTACTGAGATTACATGGTTCTTATACAATTATGTATTCTTGACAAAATTTCTAAAAAGTCATATAAAGCCTTAATTTGGAATAAAGTGATAGAATATATATTAATGTTAATAGTTTAGAGCAAAATAATGAATATTATTCTTGGCAACAGTTTATATTCCAAAATTATCTACATGAATATTTATTATAATGGCTTTCAAAATAAAGCCAATGATATAACAGTACAATTCAGCATGGACAAACTCTGGGGGGAAGAAGGAGGCCTGTTATGTAAATGTGGTAAAAATAACATTGATCAATAATTCCTACATCCCATCCCCACCCCCCACACACACTTAACTATTTTTTTCCTTCTTTTCATTTATATTTCACAGCAATTTCTCACCCAGGAGGCAGAAAACAAATTAATCCCACCAGTGTAACTAGATAACTGGAAAAGTAGATTCTGTGTGTATAATTAAGTGAATTCTAAGCACATGGATTGGCTAAACTGCAGTATTTTTTTCTAAAGTTTTAACAAGACCAAATTTCTTAAATTGCAGAAAAAGATCCAGTAAAAACTTTAATTTAGATGCAACCAACAAAGATTTGATCATGCCTAATATAAGCAATTTTTGAGAAGTTTGATAAAATGTTACCAAATATGATAACCAATGTAACTTAATATATAAATTAAATGTTATTTGAATTATGTCTTCAGTAAGAATTAATCACAGCACTTGAGACTTGGAGGTGGTACGGTATAGTCTTTTAAAGGCTAGATAATGCCAAGTAGGTATTCAATCTAAAAGGTACTCTTAGATCAGTAGCACCGTACATTAAACCTGAAAAAGGATTACCATTTCTACAGCACAATTATAGATGAGCTTCTCTGCAGTTACGCTGTTGATTTCATCAATAAATCTCTGTTTGTCAGAGAAGAAGCGGTTCAGCTTTTCTGTAAGTTTCTTGCACATGGCGATGCAGAATTTGTATCGTTCATTCAGATTTTTGACAACTGAAAAAAGTTGAAATAAGACTTACTTTTAAGTTTCTTCCAAAACAAAGCCACAATGATATGTCCCTTTCTGGGTGACTAAAGTGATAACTAGGGAAAGTGACATTACATGATTACTAAAAGTGAAAAACACACTGGAAATCAGATTGTTTCATATGTTCTGCTTCAGTCAAGAAAATAAAACACTCCTGACTTCTCTTTGTATTCATTAAATGGTTAAAAAAAAAAAAAAAGCTCAGAAAAGCCATTGTCTTTAAGAAGATTTAATACCATGATTCCTCATCAAAACTTTCTAAGTATAATGGGGAAGGGGCGACTCAAACACTCTGGGAATTACACACTATCATGCACCACCCATACCTTGTTTCACAGCAGTCGATGGACTCAGCTTCCCAGATTTGATCTGGGCTTTGGCAAGATGCAGAGATGCTGCTAGCAGCTGTGCAGCTTTCATATATAACACCAGCTGTTCCACTCGCCTATACCCAGAAGAGAACAAGCAAAGTGTTATCCTTGGAGCAAACATTCCAGACTCTCTATACATCAGCTCACCAGTAAAATAGCCTTTTTTTTTTTTTTTTTTAAAGATTTATTTATTTGCACATACAGAACTGGGGTACAGGCCAGAGGCTCAGGGGCGGTGAGAGGCTTCACCAGAAACAGAGCGAGGAGCAGAACAGGCAGATCGACGAAGTACACCGCTGAGAGGAGCAGTGGGCGGGTCAGGAGAGGTCTGCCACGCCATGTGGTCACCTCTGGGGCAGGCGGGAATCGAACTCATGCGGAAGTGGCTTTAGCTTCTCAGTGTTATGCTTTAACCCGCTGCGCCACCAGGGAGGGCCAAAACAGCCTTTCTAAGGAGTTATAATTCTTGATAATTTTAATGCACCAGTAACTCCTGAAGAGAGATGGTTCGGATATGAGCAGATATGTGTACTTTGAATGCAGCAGATATGCAAAATAAAAAGCAATACAACCTTCTTACTAGCAAATCTCTTCAACAGTGTAATTTATGGTACAAGGTAATGCCCAGTTACATAAGCTCCAACTCTTGGCTCATAAAATGACATACACTAGAAGAATATAACTTAGAAACTCCTTTGATTTTAATAATGAGGTCTGATCTTCAGTAGATGACCAGGCCTTCATCTCACACGCATTTTTGAGTTTCCAGAAGGCATGGAGAGCCTAGAAATGAACAACAAACAGGGTACCTACCCCCAGTCTTTGCTCAGCTGGCTGATCTGGTCCACCACCACACTCTCCTGAATCTGATACAGGGACACAGCAGATGTACACAGCTCTGGGTTTCCTCCCCGCACAGCTGTCAGGTCCAGCACACACTCAGTGAACATTAGCATCACATTCAGGTGGCGCAAAGTGTCTGTGTGTTCTCGCTGCAGCAAGGACAATCTTGTCTTAGAAACTATCATTTTTAGAGGAGATATATATATACACTTCTTTATAGAGACCATGGCCACTATCAGTGTTTTCCATGCTTGTAACAGAATGAGCAAAAGAGACTGAAGTTTTTAAATTGCAGAAGACTAGTGAGGAAATAAACATAAATGAAAGCCAGTGTGAATGTGTGCGTGCACGAAAGCACCCATACACAAGCTTAAAGTATGTGACATTGCGTTTTTATCAGAAAAAACAAACACCGAACAATTAAATCACCATACATGAGGCAAACATGTCAATATATAAAAGTACTTTGCATACAAAATCATTCTTCTTGATAGTTTAATGATTTTAGTGATTTATAACTTCAGATACTTTTATTTTTGGTGGGTTTCAGTTAACAATGATTGCAAGCACCAAAGCTCTAAATTTCTATAATCTTTTCGGTTAAAGGGAGCAGTAGACTAAATAATGTATATTAAAAATGGATATTCTAAGTTAATGTTGCTTTACAATTTGTTTTAGCTATAAGTATGTTTTGAAATTTCAAGACTAAGTTTCTCACTCTTTAATAAAAGGGTAAGAATCATTTTCTTAGAAATAGGAGAATAGCCCAATCAACATTTGAAAGTCTCTGTTGTATCACAGAATAATGAATTATATGTTCCACCACAATGGACACATATTGGAACATAGTCTACATCTAATCTGATGGAAATTGAAAAAACTCTGAAGACTGCTTTTCCAAACCAAGACTGGATTAAACATTTTCAAAATTACTACTAATATTACTATAGGGCCTCCCCGCGACCTAGCAGTTTAAGTCTCAACACTATTACCACAATGGCCTGAGGTTTGATCCCTGGCCAGAACTGACCCACATAGGGCACAGCAAACCTTTTCTGTTTCACTGCTGCCCCCCTTAAAAGTGCAATTTGAGGGCCTCCCTGGTGGTGCAACAGGTTAAAGCACAGCACTAAGAAGCTAAAGCCATTTCAGCATAAGTTTGATCCCCACCCCAGAGAGTGATCCACACAGCACAGCAGACCTCTCCTAACCTGCCCGCTGCCCCCCTCAGCAGTGTACTGCATCAGTCATCCTGTTCTGCTCCCCACTCTGTCTTTGATGAATCCTCTCACTGCCCCTGCACCTCTGACCTGTACCCCAGCTCTGTATGCATAAATAAATAAATCTTTAAAAACAAAAAAAGGGCATTTGAGTAAATCAGCCTGCTCTACTCCCCACTCTGTCACTGGTGAAACCTCTCACCCCCTGTACCTCTGGCCTGTACCCCAATTCTTCTATGCAAAAATAAAATCTTAGAAAAATAAAATTACTACAAACTCACTAAAATTTTGCATGCAATATATTATAACTTTTATGTGAAATACTTCTCAATCACATAAGAGAAATATTGCAGATCAACATATTTTGTTATCTAAATATCTCCAACATGAAGAGAGAATTTGTTCTTTAGTGGTCCAGAGACTAGTCACTTTATTTTGAAATGCAGGTAAAGTCAGTACTGCTTAGGAACTGAGGACTTAGTCCACTGGTTGCTATCCTAGATTTGGAACTAAGAATTAAGTTGGTATAGTCTTTTAAATCATAAAATTAATCTCTTTTGTTCTGGAGTTGTTCTAGGCATACTTCAGATAATGATGTTTGTTCCCTTGTAGAACTAGCTCCAATAAGGGAAGAATGCTCTACAAATGTGAACATTCATCAGCTTGGCAGGTTTTTATTGTCGATGTTAGTGATAAAGTGGCAGGATGTTGTTTTTTTGTTGTTGTTTTGTTTAACAAACCTAAGGTTAGGCATATCATTTTCATCTTATGAAAAAAAGCTTTGAAAATTAAAAGCTGCATTTTTAGGACAAAGATTATATACCTTTAAAGTCTTATAAGTGGTAAATAAAATCCAGATTAAAAATTAATAATATGAATGTCATTTCTTTCTTTTTCTTTTTAGATTTATTTTATTTATTTATGCATACTAGAGCTGGGGGGTAGTGTAGGCGAGAGATGTAGGGGAAGGGGAGAGAGTTGTAAGCGGATTCACTAGAGACAGAGAAGGGAACATAACAAGTGGATCTACTGAAACACACTGCTGAGGGGAGAAGCAGGCAAGACATCTGGGGTGCCATGTGGGTCACTTCCCTGGCCAGGGATCAAACTCATGCCACAGTGGCTGCCAACAGACTTATAGTTCTGAGACTTAACCCCTTGCACCACAAAGTTGGCCCTGAATATCATTTCTTATGAACCAATGCTTGTTATGAACGTCACTGTCAACAATTTTCTGAAAATATATCAGCATTTATTTATTTTTAAATAGAAAAAACAAAGTTACATAGAAGAAAAAACTTCAGAACTTTCAGTAGTATTTTGTATGGCATCAATATTGCATTGACATGTCACAACAGTCTCTTTTCTACCTCCATCAGTGTCTCCTCCGGCAGTTCAGGGGCTTCAAAGGTGATAAGCCCCTCTAGGCTGGGAGGTGAAGCACCATAAGGCATATATCTCAGGCTAGGAGCTGCCTCTGCTCCTGGAGGTGAAGACCCCAAACCTGGCCCAGGAGGGGAGCCCACACACACACGGCCACTTGCAGAACACAGGGAGCCTCCGGAGCTGCTGGAGCCCACTGCAAGGAAACAGGACACATGACACAGTGTCCAAAGTGAGTTCAAAGTCAGGGACTTCCACACTCATGCTTACCATTAAAGGAATAAAAGAAATGTTTTCCACATTCACCTTTATTCGTTGTCTGTATGTGTACCTTACAGATGCCATCATAGCTAACTTAGAATATTTTGTGTTCAATAAACATATATATGTCTCCTTTCTGCTTCATAGTATTTGAGTTTTTAAAAGAATACTACAAATAACCACTGTAATGAAATACAGTTTTTCCTACTTTCAACTGATTTCTTTGGGTTAAATAAATGAAAGCAGCATTATAAATAGTAATGGGGTTTTACTGTAGTATAGACATTTCTAGTTATTTGTAAAAATTGCCACACTACTTTCTAAAGCAAATGTAAGTAAACAGAGATTCCCATAAATCTTAAAAAACACTAGGCATGACATATATACTCAAAGTTGGCTTAGCAGGTGTAAAATGTTACCTTTTTTTAAATGGTATTTTCTTATTTATTTTATAACACATTTTATAATCTTAAAAACAAGATTATTGTAAAGTGATGATTGCAATGCAATCCGTTATCTCCATTAGTGCTCACTAAACTCAGTCCAAATAAAAAGCAGCTGACTAAAGACCACCAAGTTACTAGTTCTAATTCCTCTTTCTCTATTTATATCCCTTGCTTATTTACTTACTAATATCTTGATTAGTGACTTATTTAGCATAAGTGAACTTAAAAACAGAAGTTATATAGGATAATATCAAATGACATATCAAATCCAATCTAAATACTTTCTCAATTTTTATTACTAATAACCTATTTATAGAGTATGGGTTTCTATTAGCTTATCTAAATGTATATAGAATTAAATGAAAAGGTTGGGACCTAAACTACAAAAAATAGTTAAGCATAGGTTTCTAGAAAAAACAAACAACCTATCATATCCAAAATATCTATTATATGTACTTTCAACATAAGCTAAAAGCACCAACATGTACATTGCTACCACATGATGGAGAAGTCATATTTATACTACAATGCTATAACACTTTTATAAAGATTTTTTCACAAACATTATCTCATTTACACCTTACAACTCTTCAAAGAAAATAGTTTCCTCCATTTCACTGTTAAAGAAACTGAAGCCCAGAGAGCTCAGTAGCTTGTCTAGGTTACACTATAGTCACTGTACTAGCAAAGACTGTAGTAAGAAACATTCCTCACCTGAGGTTGTTCTTGCTCGAAGGACCATATGAGTACAAGTGGGGGCTGCGGCACTGTGTGGAGGAGATCCCACCGTGAACAGGACAGCCCTGGAACTTGCTGCTGTTCCTAGAGGAGGTGCCAGTACAACACCACAGGCTCCTACAGGGGCTAAAATCACAAATTCACAAAATGTTACACTATTTTAATAGTGCTTTTATCGGACAGTGAGATTACAGGGAGAGTTTACATTATGTTTGCAGTAAGTATTCATTACTCAATCAGAGAACTTAATACAAATCTACTGTAATATTTTATAGTAATCTCTTTACAGGTATGAATCTTCCTCACCGAAGTCTAGTACTCAGTTACTTATGTATATATTTAAAATACATAAACTGTACTTGCACTTGTTGGGGATTATGCGAAAAAGTAGAAACCAAAAACTGGGAATAAAAATGTGAGCAGTTTCCACAGTAACAGAGCTTTAGCAAGATGGAGAACACATGTGCCTAAGAATCTCTCCCTTCTATTTATTAGGAAGAAATGATGTGATCATCACATGTGTGTCAAAAGGATTGATGGGGTAATCCTGGGCTAAATGAAGAGAAGGTAAAAAAATCCCCCTTTACCAAGGAGGGAATCAATAACACCTGTCCAAAGTTTTTTTTTACACTCAAGCATCTGAAAAACTATATTTCTGAGGCCACAAAATGGAGTCAGGAAGTAACAATACAAATTATAAATTTAAAAGAAGACATACAAAATAAACCTGCCTCTAAATGTCCATCTTATCTATAGCTGAGCACTACAAACTCAAAGCACTGAATTAACAGCAAACAAGACAGAAATTTTTAGAATCAAGAAGACACTAAGTGAAAATTAATTATCTATTGTTATACAAGATGTATGAAATTACAGGGACAGTCTATTTATCATAATATCTTGATTCTATCTAAGTAAGCATAGGCATACTCTGAGAATCAATGATCTTATTTCTTTTGTAAGATCTTATGTTTTTCCTACTGTCGAAAGTTTTTACTTTCAGAAACTGAAAACTTCACATTAGAAAGTGAAATTTGTAATTCCAAACAATGATAATAAAGTTCATGTGGAAGAAAGCAAGAAAAGAATAAAAATTATCAAAAACACATTATATGCCTAAGTAGAGGGAAAAAATATGGTCACATCCCTTTAACTTGTAACTTAACTTATAACACATATTCATGTGGGACTTAGCTCTGTAAAATTTGAGTTTATTTGTAAAAAAAGGAATGAAATGTAATGTGGTCAGTCATACAAGCTGTTTTTTCAAAAATTGGCTCAACTTCTATTGACCTAATGACTTTTGGTAAAAACAACACAAGAAAGGTGATTTGTAAGAGCATTGCAGGTATATTCCAAACAACCAGAAGTGATCAAAAAACTGAAAGTTTTAGGTCTCTGGAAATTGTTCTGAGGGCATACAGGAAATGAAGAGACATTTATTTAGTAGTGCCCACTATATCTCAGTAAAGGCTACGTCTCCAGCAAGCTTCACGTAGAAGGTCCAGGCCAGTAGCTCAAATACCAAGGTCTATTGCCCTCAAACCAGCTGCCTTGCCTGGCAGAGTTTCCATGCCAGAAGAGACAAACAAATCAAGAGGACCAGAGACTTCCACCCCTACCAAGCATCCAGGTCACAAAGCTGGGCATCACCCTAAGAAAAATGGACTACTATTTTCATTCCCAGCTCCAATGTAACTATGCCGAGAATTTCTACAAGGAGTGGGGGAAGTCAGGAACAGAGAAATGTGAAGTTCATCCCATGGAAACTGACATTATTTGAAATAGATCATGGCTCTGTCAAAAACAGTGAAGATTATGATGGCAAGTAAGTTAAGGCTGGTAGAGCAACTTGTTACTTTGAGAGCAATAAATGAACAGATCATCTAGATATTTAACAAAGAGAACCTGAGAAGAGGTAGCTAAGAAGAGCATTCCTGTATAAGAACAAGACTCAAAGACGACTTACCTCAAAGTTTACTTCTGTCAAAGGGTGAGAATTTAGTTAGAAGGAAACTGTGGAAGCTTTTCTCTCTCAACCATTTATTGTCAAAGCAATTAGCTGACAATTAGTGAATGGCAACAGCTGAATATAAACAGCTGCTCATATCTCTGAGCAATCCGAGAAAGAGTCACAGGGAATCCTGCTAGAATCTGTCATCCCAGGTGAGCGTACACATGCGCAAGTATGTACACTCTGAGGAATGACATCAGAGGCTTCACATTGGGGAAAACAGACCTCACTGAAATAGCTTGGCCAAGACTAAACAATACAAAAATAGCAAACCAAGGGGGAAGGAGGTAGGAGAATCAGCATCTAGTATTGTGATGAATATATTGCATCAAATGTTCAGCTTTCAACAAAAACAATGATATATGCAAATCATACACGTGACGAGATGCAGGCAACAACACTGCCCCAGAAAGGTCTTACATGTCTAACCGAGCAAAGGCTTCCAAACAGCAATTTTAAAGAAATTCAAATAATTAAAGGAAACCATACTTAGAAGGAATGAGGTCAATCTTCAGAAGCTGGAAAAGACAAAGAATGGATTCTCTCCTAGAGCTTCCAAAAGAAATGCAACCCTGCCAACTTCATGATTTTAGCCTAGGCATTTTAACTTCTGAACTGCAGAGCTCTAAGATAACACATTTGTGTTTTAAGCCATTAAACTATTACAGAAGCAATAGGAAACTCATGCATATGTCAACAACCTGCCTACAAAGAAATCAGATTTTTCTTACCAATATCCATGGGTCGCTCTGTATTTAAACTATCCGTGCTGCACTGATGTCCTAAAGGTGTTTTTCCTTGTTGATCTGATAACTTCCCAGTACTGACAGATCTAAGAGGAAAAGGGATGTTAACAGTGGGAAAAAATACCAGATATTTAAGGGTGATTTTAAGTGAAGCCACAGAAGGGTTAATTGAATGTCAGGGAATAAGTATGCAAAAAGTAGGGACAAAACAATTCAAGCTAGTACTACACATCAATAACAAAATAAACAAAAGACAGAAATAGAATATTCAGGAAGTTCAGGAAGAGCTATGTATTTACTTGGTGACAGTAAGCAACTGTTGTTTTTAGAAATTCTTTATGTGTACAGTTTATATGATTATATAGCATAAAGAAGCCATTTAGGCTATCAATAGTTTTATAATAGAGACATATATACTATTACAGTTTTCATGTTCAAAGCTAGAAGGAAATGAAATCTTTTACCTGCCAAATACTGTCTTGTGCTGCTCAGACTTCTGCCTCTCATTTCCTTGTACTAAGAAACAATGAGAGCATTCCCGTGGGTCGCTCCCATCTCTAAAATGTCCTTCAGAAGGTCCATGACGAGTAATCAAAGCTAGCAGATTGGAAGACGCTTGCGTTTTAGGGATTTTGAAAGGAGCTGTGGTCTAAAGAAATAATGTAAATTATAGCACATATAAAGCATTCACAACTTTCAGCACACCTGTAAGGACCAAAGACTCTAGAGTCATTCAGACCTGGATTCAACTAGTGGCTCTTTCTGCTTACTACTTCATATTATTTAAGCCTCAATTTCCTTTTTTAGGATTTACCGGAATAAAGTATATACAGCATTCAGCAAGTACTTAATGCTGTGCATGGGACATAGCAAGTGCTCAATAGCTGTTCTCATCATGTATAGTTGTAGTAGTTGTTCTACAAACAACTACTATTTCTTTTTTTAAAGATACATTTATGTATGCATATAAGAGCTGGGTTCCAGGCCAGAGGTGTGAGTGGGGAAGGGGGTAAGAGGATTCACCAGAGACAGAGTGGGAAGCAGAACAGTTGGATTTACTGAAATACACTGCTCAGGGGAGCAGTGAGCGGGACAGGAGAGGTCTGCTGTGCCATTTGGGTCAGATCCCTAATGGGGGAGCAAACTCATGGTGCAATGGCTGCTAATAGCTTCACAGTGCTGATACTTAACCCCTTGTGCCAACAGGGAGGCCCCTTAAATACTATTTTATGACCTATACTATTGACAGTTTCACTTAGCAACCTCTTGGGACAGGTGCCTCATAATCCATTTAGTTTGGTTGAGTATCCTGTAGTGACACAAGCTTTGCAACCTCTATCGACAGACACAGTACGGGCGGAGGGGAAATGCTCTGAAAAATCAAACTTTCCACGTTAACTTATGTTATGACCTCCCTTTTTTGTATGATCGTAAGATCAAAATATTCTGAGCAACCTTCAGCTTACAATTGGATTGCCTCAGCCTCAGGAGGCGCTACCTGGCCCTGACAAGCAAGTACTGCACCAGGGTGAGATATTCCTCTTGAAGTCAAAAGTCATTAAACAACTGGCTGATTAATAAAAACAAATGGCTGTTACTTCACAGTCTCTCACTGCCAGACGGAGAAAAACCCAAATCTTATCACTCTACTATCTCACCTAGCCTTCTATTCAGTTTCTAAATAACCACTCAAGCTTTCTACTATCTAGTCTTTGGATATGGAAATTCACCCAAGTCGCCTATGCAGAGCTCATCAGGTTTTCTACCTTCTAGATTTCAATAAAACTCAAACTTTCTAACAAGTTTTTCAAAGAACCTTACCTTAATTTGATTTACAAGAAATTTCCTCTTCCTCCCCTCACTTTACTTTACCCCCTAGGATGTCTCTATGAGAATGAAAGCCTTTAAGTAATAGATAATGTTTAAGGGACTTTATTTTGGTTAATCTTCACTGTGGTAAATATAGTAATATTAGTCTTAAACTTTGTGAATCTATGTACCTATTTTAACCTTGATAGATTGATTTTAAAAAACGTTATAATCTCAACTGAAGGTCAAAACGACCCCAGACTATTCTTAACAAAAAGGTGATTGTGATCTCAGCCCATTTCATATGCTAATGTCATCCCTCGGCCTGCCAGAAGTGTATAAAATGAACCTCTGCTAAAGGCAGAGCAGGAAGACTTGCACCCAACTCCCATTCCCATGTCTTCCTCGCGCCCGCTCCCCTTTTTTTCCCTTTTTCTAGGAATCTCTGCTCGCTGACGCCATTCCCACCTTGAAACCCTGCCCCCAATAATCCGTGATCAGGGACAAAGTCTCCGACACTGTAGGTACCTTCAACTGACATTAGCTTCTCATGATAACCCACAGAGTTAATCAGCAAATTTAAATCACTGATATAACTTCCCCAATAGCCTTTGTGATCAACAGAGAACTTCCCTCGGCATTCCCTATACTTAAGATCCCTGTGGAACATACCAGAATCCCACTGTTTTGGTCTGAATTCACCAACCCAGCCTTAGTCCAAGAAAAATCCCATACCCTAGTAAAGACATGAGCCCAAGGTTTGTCCATCTCTCTGCCTGCATGCTGCCTTGGCACTTCCTCGAGATGATACACACTTCTCCCAGGACCTATTGCTAATGCATTTCTTTATTTCCATTTCTCTTATGGTCTACTGGTGAACTACAATCCAACAATAGGCATGCTGTGTGTTCCGCTTAACAAATGTTAATTTAACAAAGTCATAAAATCTACAAAATGGTTTACTGAAAGCAAAGAAATGGATAAAGCCCATCCAAACAAACAGCAGGAATCTGACTATAGGACTGAGGTCACCAGAAGGCAAGGATAGGGAGTAAAAGCAAAGAGGAAAAGACAGTGGAAGATTGTTGGTGCCTTGGTGGTGGGTATCATATGATAACTTATATTGGTAGAGATGTGACTGTGAACCCTTAAAACACACACAGTAATATAAACCATTATCCCCTCAATAAATACAAAAAAAAAAAAAGGTTTAATAAACACACCTTAGTAGGAGAGCCTATGATTGTTGGTAGAGGAGTTTTAAAGAACCAGTCAGAACTCCGTGGAGAGGACCCCAGGTGCTTGGTGGGAGAGGTCCCAAGGCTGCCAGGCCGACTGGGCTGAGGTGAGTAGCTGTACCCAGTCCCAGCATGTGATGGACACACTGGGTCAGAGTGCTGCTTTCTTAGCTTCTGCTTATTCTGGTAGATGTCAGTAAGGGTGGGAGCACTCTGCAGTCTAGCACCCAATAAGTGAGACTGTGGTGATGGAGCCTGTGGCACCGGAGAACCTACAGAGTAAATGGAAGGCAACAGTCACTCCAAGTGAAGAAATAAGGAAATGCCCCTGCCAAAATCTTGTTGCCAATGTGAGGCCCACTAAGCTTTCTACTCCAGCTACAAATTCTTTGGAATTTCTTGCAAGTCAAACTACCACCAATAAATGTAAGGATAAATAAATCTTCTTAGTGACCTATAATTATCATCTTTCCTAAAACAAGATACCAACTAGAGCTTTTGTTACTGTCTCCTACTGGTTTCTATCTCACCCTAAGTTTGGTAATTAATCGGATTCTCCCATATATGTATATGTACACACAAATAAGTAACATCAGTGGTAAAATGTTATGATCCTGAGTTAAGCTTTGTTTTTAAGAAAACAAAAAATATGAAAAATTAAACTTAGACAAGAGTGCTTTTCTAAGAAACAGGATTTCTTTAGCTGACTAATTTCTCAGTTGTACATAGAATTAAAATTTTCATTGTGATTTACACATTTTATCCAGGCAAATATATTCTCATCATGAAGGGTGACTCCTATACTGCAAATACAAAAAAGTAAACATTTTTTTGTCTGATACAAATGGGTAACTCTTATCAAGAACAGTATTAAGTAAAATAATGAAATTTCATTTTCTAGATTGATTTTCACTATGTCCAAAATCTAGTTAATTCTAAGGTTTATTTTCATAAATCAATCATATACACAAAAGGAGATATTCAGTTAGTTGTATGATATACTAAAACAGATTAGATCAAGATTTTGAAAAATAGGTCAACAAAGTATTTCATATCAATCCTGCCTTTTTGATAAGACTAAAAACATAAATCAAACCCAATTATGACAGAATAAAAATTATTCATATATCAAATACTTCTCCTACCTGATGAGTTTCTACTTCTGGATTCATGGCCCTGAGGATGCCCACAGCAACAATGACTAAATTGCTCAGGAATGGTACCAACTATGAAGAGAGAAATGGAGGAGAAATGATTCACAATCATTGAAGGATAGAGACAGCCAACACATGCACAATGGCAGAGTACATTAACAGTTTACTAATTTCAGTTAGCAAAAGATCTAGTTCAGCTAACATGTATGGAGTGACCAATGTACTAGGCACTTGGCACACTGTAATCAGAAGTACACTCAACTTGTCTTGAAGCAATCACTAGGAAATAAACCCACATAAACAAGTCAATGCTTGTTACAGGTATGTTTTTATGAGAGAAGTACAAAGAGTTTGTACAAAGTGTTTAGGACCTGTGAAGCTGCAGGGGCACAGATGAATGAGAACCAAGCCGCTGCCCCTCTGTGTCACCACTTCCTGATGAGGTCTGTTGCCTGGAACTTCTATCAGACAATGGCTATATAACACAGACTAATTTAGGTCAGAGAATGTGGACAACTCAGTGTTGGGGACATTCCTTGAGCCTGGCTAAAAGTGCAGAGCCTCAGCTTAAAGGCACCCTGCTTCCTCCCCTTCACCCATCACAAGCATTTTCTAATCTCTCTCCTATGTATCTGTGGATCTATGCATCCATCGTTTTTTATATCTACCCCACTTGAGAACCAAAACTAAGAAGCAGGAGAGTTGACAAAGCCTGTAGGGGTGTAAACAGACAAAGACTAGCTTCCTTAAATGCCAAGGTGAGTTTTGGCACTTGTGTCTGAGAACATGGGTGCACCTGGAGCACCACTGCAGCAATAAGGGAGGGTCATGATTTCGTTTGAGCTAAACAGCTTTGAAACCATTACAACACACACATACCCCATAAAACTACGAACAATCCACTGCAACAAGTAATGAGGTGATATAAACTTTTTCTTTTAAAAAACTCATCATTTGGTTTTTGCTTTTTTAATCAGGAGTTTTGGGCACCATTTCAATTGTTCTAGCTCTGCTTCTGTCTGACATTTCCCCTCATCTCTCTAAGTCCTACTCCAGCAGTTCTGACTGAGGGTGGGGGGCACTGTCCTTTAGAAGTAAATATATATGCTTCTTTGAGCAATTTTTGAGATCTGCCACTATTTGGCTGTGAGATCTGCCTGCACTAGGCCCGCTCTGCACCACCTATTCTTCCTACTACTGCAGCGCTCTCATAGATTATGTAATCTTAGTCATTTGGTCTCAATATATTCTGAAGTTGAAACATTTTCTTAGTTTCACTACAAGTGTAGTTTGGGATTTATTTCTCTGGTTGGGGTTTTGGTGTGGTGGTTGTTTCACTGTTTACTTTGGTTTGTGTTTACATTCTGATTATTTCCAAACATGTTTTCTAGGATAGATCAGATTAAGAAAACTGCCACCACACTGCTTCTGGGTCACCTAAATTTATAAAGGCTAGACAACAACAGTGTACCCAACAGGCATTAGGTTATACTCATGACAGTCTTCCAGCACATTTATGTACATATTTCCATCTAGGGTTTCTGACTTTGTGTTTAAGAGTCCAAGTCCATGAAAGTCTTTTTTATTCATAAGATCCATTTATATCATTATATTTCTAATAGAAGGCCTAATAAGTTTATACAAATTCTCAAGAGAGAGTTGGGAGTAGTATAGAGTTAAGAGTAGAGGGAAACAATTCCTAATCATTTGAGATTCACTGCCACAGTGAGTCAACGTTTCTAAAGAGCATCACATCAGGTTTGTCATAGGGAAAAAAGGTTGAAAACAAATGCTTTAAACTCTCCTTACCCAAAGGGGAGGGTGAATAAGGCCTGGAAGACCCAGTAGAAAGTCTTCGCCCAGCCGTCTGAACTGTGTCTGCTGGTGCTGGAGAGCAGGAGCCCAGGCGGAGAAAGCCCATAGGGCTGGTATTTGACCTTCGTACTACTGCAGATCTGAAAAAATAATATAAAATTATTCCCTCTCTGGTAGATTCCAGAACACACTATTTCTTTTTCTGTGAAACTTCCCAACATTATACCCTAAGAAGACTTTTTAAAATATGTAGCATAATCATCTGGAACCAATATTAAAAAGTATAAAATTATAGTCTCCTACTCAGCCTAATCCCAAACTTCCTCAATCCCATTCAAAAGATTTTCACTGTTTTTAGTTTCTAGTGTTCTTGAATTCATACACAAGTAAATGAATAATTTCATTTCCTATATGCCTTAAGTCGAAGGGTCATATAGGGAACTCCCTGATGGCACAAGGGGTTAAGACTCAGCACTGTGAAGCTGTCTGCAGCCACTGTAGCATGAGTCCAATGCCCAGGTAGGGAGCTGACCCACATGGCCCAGCTGACTACTTCTGTCTCGCCTGCTGTTGCCCTCAGCAGTGGATTTCAGTAGACCCACCTGTTCTTCTCTCCTCTCTGTCTCTGGTGCGTCCTTTCACCTCCTGCACCCCTAGCCTACACCCTAGCTCTTGTATACATAAATAAATAAATCTTAAAAAACAAAACAAAGACTAAGGGTCATATATACACCAAACCAACCATTTTCAACCTTTTTGGTCTTAAATCCCCTTTATGTTCTTAAACTACTGAATATCCCAGAGAAAGAGTTTTGTTTATGCAACATCTATACTTTTACTATATTAGAAGTTAAAATTGGTAATTTAAAAATAATTCATTTTAAATAATAAATTTTAATATGTATATAACATTATGAGAAGTAATTTGAAAAACACCTTTGAAAATAAAATATTTTAATGAGAAAAATATTATTTTATATATTTGCAAATATCTAATGTCTGGCTTAATAGTTAACAATTCTTATGAGAAGTAATTTGAAAAACACCTTTGAAAACAAAATATTTTAATGAGAAAAATATTATTTTATATATTTGCAAATATCTAATGTCTGGCTTAATAGTTAACAATTCTCATAACTGTTCCTCTATTCAATCTATTTTTAGGTGAGGTAGATGAAAAAAATTTAGCTTTACACAGATTTGTAACTGGAAAAGGGGGAAATATGTTGGTAGTCTTTTAGGTATACCTGTAATACCCCTCTTTGAAACTACACCAAAACTTAGCACTATTTTTTCCCCAAAAGATTAGTTTAGAATCTACAATGATATTAATGAATTTTGTGCCCTGTTATTATATTCAAATTTATTTTTTACATAGTGTTTTATGTTTGGAATAGGTCTTTTGCCTATGTATAACTTTTTACTATTTGGTCATTCAGAAAAGTGTTGACTGAGTTATGCAGACATCTCAAATGTTGACATATTATATCGTATCAAAAAGTCACATTCATATAGATATCACACCAATTTTAGCAGGAGTGCCTGTCAAGATACACAAAAACCTCAAAGATCCTAATTGTGATCACCAAAATTCTAAAATTCACTCTGGAGTCCAAATTTTATCACTGGTACTGCCATTTGTTTTCTATGAAGTGACAAACTGATTTAGTTAATTTTTGACAAAATGGCTGGCAAACACTCATAAACATACATTCCACTCAAGGTGGAAATTTTGAGATACAGAGTTTTTACCGCTTCATCAAGGGCATTCCTTTGTACTTCAGGTGTGAATTAGTAATTAATGCAATACAGTTAGATTCCACTACCTTGATGCATGCTAAGCACTATTTTCCCATTTTTGCTTTTGCACCATCAGTACATATGCCAACACAATGAAAAAGCAAACAACCCTCTAATATTATTATAAAATAGTTGTGACCCCATACTCTGAGAGCCATACTTTGAGAACTACTGGTAAACAGAGTTGCTTTTTTTTTTATTTTAAAATATGCCTGGAAATTTTTGTACATTAGTATATAAAAAGTCTTGGAATTTTCTTGGAAGATGCTTCATTGTCATAAATGGACCATAACAAATCAGTCCCTTTCTGGAAGGGACTTGGTTTATTTCTCATCCTTTTCTATTATAGAAGTTAACAATTTTGCATAAATTTAATTTTATGCACAGACATAGACAATACAGTTGTAGAATAAGTTATCAGATGTTTAAGGTCTGGGTCAAGAGATTTATGCATAAATAATTTTGAAAAAAATAATTTTGAAAGATATTGCCAGTGTGCCCTTCATAGAAGTTTGTTCAATTTTTTCCATTCATCTAACTATTCATTTAGTAGGTTCTTTACACCAAAATCTTATGTCCTCCAGTTTTGAAAATTTTTTCTTGATTATTTCATGGAAATTTCCTTCCTCACCATCTTAATTTTATTTTTTAAATACAAAAGGGCAGGTTTGTTATAAAAAGGGGCAGAAAGATAAAGGACACTTGCACAGACACAAGCAGAGAGAAAGAGCCTCCCCACTTTACTTTTCTTTCTGTAATGCCTGTATTAATTAATCCTTGAAAAAAAAAATTTTTAATTCTTATTTCCATCTTTTTTGACTCACCTATTTTAGATACTTTCTGAACTGTTTCCCAATATTTATTTTTATTTACTTCTGCTATCAGATTTTGTAATACCCAAGAGATTTTTCTTTATATTATTTTAAATAGTATTTTGTTCTTATATGGAAGCAATCACTAAAGGCACTCATTTTTAAAATTATTTTTTTCTTTCTTACTACTTCCGCCAGACTGTTTTTCTGTTAGTGCCCTTATGTCTCACGTCTACCCCTCCACCATACCTGTGTTCTAAGATTTAGGTCTCTCAGAGGTACTGTGGGGCAAAGTGACTCTCATTTTGCCAAAGCTCTGACTATATGCACACTTACACCTGGTCCTGCTATGGCAGGCACCTCTCTTTCCATCCTCTCTGTTTTCCAGAAATTTACCAAAATCTCTCACCCAATCAACATTTATTCCTATTTTTTAAAAAAGATTTATTTACTTATGCATACAGAACAGTGCAGATGTTACTAGTTTGTGGATTTATGCCTTTACTACCTTAGTGAGGTCTCAGGATATGTAAAAAAGAAATAATTGTTGGTTATAAATAAATAAAATAAATAAGTAAAAGTTGGTTCCCAACTTGTAATGGTTTATCCAACTTTCCAATGGTACAAAAGACACATGCAGTCCATGGAAACCATACTTTGAATTTTGAACTTTTCAGGGCAAGTGATATATATATATAGTACGATACCCTCTTTCATTGCTCAGCACTGCAAAGAGCTGCAGTTCTCAGTCAGCCAGTTGCTCACAAGGATAAATAATCTTCTATCAGGTATTCTCTAGTCCCATCAAAAAAGAGAGAAATTGATAACTCTGTTGCTATAGCACCCCCATCATGTAGCAACTAGTTTTAGCTCAATGCTTCCAACATTCTGCAGTCTCAGTGTGCTTTCAGTTGTGCATGTTAATGGTCAGAACTCACACCACCACTCTGTTTCACTTTCAGCACAGTATTCAAATATTACATGAGACAGTACAGACTCCACCATAAAGTAGGTTTTGCGTTAAAAGATTTTGTTCAACTGTAGACTAATGTAATTGTTCTGAATATGTTTAATGAAGCTAGGCTAAGCTATGATATTCAGTAGGCTAGGTGCATTAAATGCCATTTTTGACTTACAATATTTCCAATTTAGCAATGAATTTATTGGAATATCCTCCATCATAAGTAAAGGAAGATCTTTATGTAATAATCTATTGTACTGTTGGGATTTCCTCTTTTAACAAGTTTTTCCTCGATTCTTAAAAATAATTATATTTGTGGACCAAAATGTACATATCATATATTGTCATCGTGCTAAGCTTAATATCTTTTAAATACAAAGCTTGTTTTTATTATTGAGTTGTGAATAATTCCATTATGCACACATGAAAGGGTCTAAATCAATTATATAAAGTCACATCTTTCAGAGCAACATTAACAAAAATTTTAAAGGAAAAGAATTAAGAAAGAAAAAAAAACCTGTTTACCTCGGAGAACCATGTGGATTTGTGCCAGAGCTGGCAGTAGATGTAAGATTCTGCTCTATGCGCTGGTAATTCCTTATCTGAGTAGGAACTGGAATCGGTGCTGTTTCACTGTAAGGTGACACGGTAGGCTGACACTGCCTGCAACCATAATTTATTAAAAAAGGAAAGAAATACCAGTAAGACTGTTTTCTTTCTTTTGTCACACTGTGGATATTTAGAGAAGATTCTAGAAGCCAAATGAACACTGCTGTATGTGACTAAGAAATGTAAATCTTTTATCTTTATCTGACGCTTAGTTTAGCTCCTCATTATTCCACATGTTAGTGACACCATCTAGCATTTAACTCTTTCCTTTTGACTTATTTCACTTACCACTATCCCAGTTCCACCCATGTTGCCACAAATGGCATGAGTTTATCTTTTTTGATCGCTGAGTAGTATTACATTGTGTATATATACCACAATAGCTGATAAGGATATCCAAATATTACCTCCATTAACAATAAATAAAAGTAAATCAAATTTGGTTTATGAAAAACAAAAAAGAAATGATCACCCAAAAATATGTCATATCTTTTAAAGAACTCTACTAGATCGATATGCAGATAGAGGACTAAGAACTGCAACAAGTACTGGAAAACCATTCCTCTACAAAAACAGGAAAAGTCCACACCTAGGGTGGTAAAATATGGTTTCATCCTCTTTACATTTTGCTTATTCATTACTATGTGGAAGGAAAAGAAAATATTCCTAGGGAAATATGCTGAATAAAAGAAGAGGAAGTTCAAGAGCAAAGACATTGGAATACTTAAGGTTGCCTTGTATGTGAACTGAGAGGAGTGATTAACCCTTTAGTCACTCCTCTCAGGTCATACAGGATACCCCCGGATTGATTTCTAATATAAAAGTTTGAACACTATTAACCCTAAAGTAATACACAAGGTAACATTTACAAAAGTTTTGACTCTAGTAGCATTCCCAAGGAACTCTGACTTTTATGAGGATTCAAAACATACTATGCAACTCTCAAAGCATATAACTGATCTAAGGTTCACATTTTAAAGGGTTGCTATGTGCTTTCTTTACCAGCCTGTTGGTTTCACAAATTCAGAAATACTATGTCCCGGAATGACTTTCAATTAAATTTACAACATCAGGAAGAATATTAGACTTTAAGAAAAATGATATTTCATTTTTGTTTCATCCTTCTATAATTCTAAAAAAGCCATACAGTATCTAACTTTTTTCTAATTACATTACAGAAATAAGGAGATAACATGTTTAGTAATCTAAACAATCAATATGATTATCTTTCAGAGTGTCAATTTAAAACTTTTTGAACCATTAAACATTTTCTATTTAAATAAGAAGAAAATCTCATCTGTAGCAAAAATGTTAGTTACTTTCCCAATATCCACCCACCCATTATTTTTTACTAACAGAATTCAAATTTTATGGAGGTGGGGTAGTGACCTTCAATTCATTCTCCTCCTCCTTCCTACCTAGAAATATAAGTATGCTTACTGGAATTTTAGCAGCAACCTTGGAACTGTGAAGAAAAAGCCAGAAGAACTGGACACATGCCATAGAAACAAAAGCAACATTTATTTATTTTGATTCCTCTTCATACAAGAAAACTCAACCTTCAGTATTCAACAACACTACAGTCAGGATCCTGCTGGCCAAGTAAAATACCTCTGATACACATTCAGTAAGTTTCTATAATATATCTCTCTTGTGCCCTCTTCCATTTATGGTATTCCATCAGGTATCTTTTAAATACTATGACAGTCATGTTTTTAATGTGTTTACATCTGATTTTGAAATTCATCTGTGAACTGAAAACAAAACAAAACAAAAACCATCTCTACACAAAACAATAACTTCACCAAGACTTCACTGACCAGGTCTGGTGGCTGCAATCTAGTGCATACACAAGCCTCACAGTCTTGCACATTTCTCCAATAACAGAAAAACTAGCACAGCCATCAAGTATTAGAATGTGAATGAACAAATGTTATCTTTCTACTGTCTTGATTTAATAAATAAATAGAGTTGGTAGAGCAAATACATCTGGGAATTTTTAATTTTTACATTGTCCTAATACTTTTCCTATACTTGTTAGTCACTGAAAGTAAAATAAGGAGCTAAAAAAAGATACTCTGAAAAATGTAAATAGCAAGCTCATAATTCAAAGCACCTCTCTTCAGTGTCTCTAATAACACTGAGTCCTGCCCCACCAGCATATCAGGAAATCCACAAGGTAGTAAGTGTGCTATAAGTGTCTCCAAGTGTCTCTGGATAGTACTTATAAACAGGCTTCCTCAGTTTAGAAATTCTTCCTTGAACAAATTCTTCAAAGCTCCAGCCAACTAAAACTACTTTCCTGTATAGGCTCATTTAACACCAAAATTAAGTAAACAACTACTCAACTCCCTAAGTCCAATGAGAGGACTTAGTAAGAGGAGAGGAAGGTCTACATATACTCTCAGTCTTCAACACATCCATATCACCTCTACTATGTCTATAGTTCAGAAATTTCTCTACACGTAAAGTTATGTGACTCACAAAGAATACTAGGAAGACCAAGCAGTCTACTCACATAATCATAACATTGTATTTTAATCTCAAAGACACTAACGATGGTCAAAAGAAGAATTACTTTATGTATTCCAAATTTCCCATGAAACATAGCCCCTGCACTCAAATGCTGAGCCATGAAATCATCATAGCATGATTTCACTCATTTGTGGAACATAAAAAGAAAAAAAGCAAATGAATAAACAAAACAAAAACAAACCCTTAGTCTCTGTCTTTTCAGAGGAAAGCAAGGCATGAGAACAGGTTGAGGAGCTTACTGGTGGACACTTAGTTGGGAGTGGTGTGATATATAGAGCTGCTGAGTTGAGAAACTGTACAGTGAAACCTACAGTGCTGTAAGCTGTTATTGAATAAATACAGATCTTTAAAAAAAAATAACAGACACTCTGAAAACTAATACTATTAAACCAAAACTAGTATAAAGTTATTTGGGTAGAACTATTCAACAAATGAACTGACAGGAATTTCCAGTAGGCTAGAGACATCATTAAGAATTATTAACACACTAGCCAAACTCCTCTCTGTACTATTTTACTAATAAAGTACCACAAATTTCCAGTTTCAATTTGGAGTTTTCCAAAGCCAGTTTATATTGTTTATTCTATTAGAAATTCCTTCAAAGTGCCAAAAATACATCAACACAATTAAAAGGCAGGTTGGCAAGATTTCCTAAGTATCTGGTAAACTGATAAGTAACCTACTAGGCATATATTATCCTGCTGTCATTCAATGCAAGGTCAATAAACTAATCAATAATGTCAAGGAGAAACTATGAGTTTCTTTTTTTTTTAATTCTTAACTGGTACTTTTTTTTTTTTTTAAGATTTATTTCTTTATGCATATGGAACTAGGGTATAAGCCAGAGGTGGTGAGAGGATTCACCAGAGACAGAGAGAGGAGCAGAACAGGCAGACTGATAATATACACTGCTGAGGTGAGCAGTGGGCAAGACAGGAGAGGTCTGCTGTGCCATGTGGGTCACATCCCTGGCCAGGGATCAAACTTGTGCTGATGTGGCTGTGGCTAGCTTTGTAGTAGTGCGCTTTAATCTGTTGCACCACTAGGGAGGACCTAAAATTATGAGTTTCTAAACCCATTTTAGATTAGATGAAATGATGAAACCTGAAGGCAGAAAGTACTCAGATTCACTGAGGCATCAGACTACTAATAGGTTGAGAAGTAATAAAAGATCTACGTAAGTGTGGCTCACAATAGAATCTATATTTTGTACTACACTGTAAATTCTTCTTATGCCCCTAACCTAAGTAATGCTTTCTGAAACAGTACACTAAATTTGTGTCTGGTAATGAATGCCAAAGTACTGTAGGCCAAAGAATCTTTAGGTACTAAGACTTCCGAGGGCTTTAACACAAACATATATTCCCCCAATAGATGTTAGAAAATGAAATACTATCTCCTGAATTATATTCTTTAAAATATCACTATCATATGAACTAGTGTTTTGGGAAAATTTCTGACCCCCTGGAAAAAATTATTCCTGTCAATATAATACAGTATGTGGAAGTAATTTCAATAAAACTGATATGCTAATGAAAAAAATTAAATATACCACTACTAAAATTACAAGGACTGTCCTAGGAGATAACTACTGTGATATGTAGCTAATTAAATCTTTTTTTATATAAAGATTTTTTTAAATTTATGCATACAAGAGCTGGGATGTAGTCCAGAGGTATGGGGGTGATGCGAGCATACAGAGTGGGGAACTAACCCACACAATGCAGCAGGCCACTTCTGTCTCGCCCTTTGCTCTCCTCAGCAGCCTATTTCAGAAAATCCTCCTGTTCTGCATCCCACTCTGTCTCTGTTGAACCCTCATTCCCTGCACTTCTGGCTTACATTCAGTTCTTCTATGTATAAATAAAAATGTAATAATAATATGCTACTGGCATAAAGCAAATATAGAGACTGGTGGAATAGAGAACCCAGAAATAATAAATCTTTGTATATATGGACAAATAATCTTTGACAGGGGTGCCAATGTTACTAAATATAAAAAAGACAGTCTCCTTAACAAATGGCAGATAGATACAAGCCAAAATAAAATTAGACCCTTTTCTTACACTATAAAAACTCAAAACATACGATAGCGTGAAACATAAAACTCAAAACTATGTAAGTTCAAGGAAAAAACATTGACATTGGATTTGGCACTAAAATCCATGACATTGGGTATGACAAAGCACAGGTAACAAAACAAAAAAAAGGACAATAGGACTACATCATATGCTAAAACCTTCTGTGTTCAAAGTACAAATCAATAGAATAAAAGGCAACTAATAGCCAAGAGGCAGAAATAATTCAAGTGTCCATCATTCAGTGATTAGATAAGCAAAATGGAGTATATACATACATGAAGAAATATTATTCAGCCTTAAAAAGGGAGGAAACCCTGACATGCTGCAACATGGATGAATCAAGACATTACACTGACTGAAATAAGCTAGTCACAAAGACAAATGATGTTGATTCTACTTAAATAAGGTATCTATCTAAATTAGTCAAATGCACAGACACAAGGTAGAATGGCGGTCTATGGGAGGGAGAAATGAGGAATGTTACTACATAAAGAGTTCTGAGTTTCAGTTTTGCAAGATGAATTTTCTCAAGATCTGTTGGACAACATTGTGAAAACACTTAAACCCTTTGAATTGTAAATTTAAAATTGGCTGACAGATTTTATCTTTTTCAATTGAAAAAGTTTTTGAAGAGAAATGGTGAATTTCTCTTTAAAATGAATTTAAGAATCAAGGACATGGCCTTCTTGGCAGCATAGGAAATTCACCACTGCAACCTGAGTTCGATCCCCATCAAGGGAGCTGACCCACATATGGCATAACAGGTGAATCTTGTCTCACCCACTGCTTCCCTCTCAGCAGTATATTTTAGTGGACCCACCTATTCTCCTCCCTGCTCTGCTTCTGGAGAATCTTCTCACCCACTGCACCTCTGGCCTACATCCCAGGTCTTATATGCATAGATAAATAAAAATAGATCTTAAAAAAAAAAATCAAGAAAACAGTCTATGTTCCAGAACCTTACAAAAAATATGAAAAACCTTTTAGCAAAATGTATATAAACATACCCTCCACACACCAAGAACTCATTTGAAGCACGTCTGCCAGCAGTTCCCATTGGATTATCATCTAAAGGATAAAGAGAAAATTATAATCAGTTCTGCTGTACCATCTACTAAAAATATAAATATTCTACCCAATCTGATTCTTAATGATTATTAATTTGAACACAAATTACCATGTTTATGTTGTTACTTCATCTATGAGCAAGAACAGGTGAACACAGAACATTACACCCAGTTGAGTTAATAAGTTGCAACCCTTTCAATGCCCCATTCTAAAAGAAAACCTCTGGTCTTTTTCAAGAGAAAGTGCCATATTTATTACAATTCTTGTATATTTCTTTACCATTTTACCATATACAAAACTGTGCTAGTTTTTAATTACATTTCTTCTATGTGTCACTGACACAAAGCTTTTGAGTGTTATGTCCCTGATTCCAATTTTCTCATAAGCTCTGTAGCATTTTTAACTGTTTGGAATGTGCATTTTTTTGAGTCACATGTTAAGGTACAGCACAAATAACTACATAATAAAGTCTAGTTCATTCTAATGCTGGCACACCCTCACCCTCCTGCATAATACTTTCTTGAGTCCCACATGGGCTGTAGAACAAGATTCAAGAGAGTTGGAGTCGGGGGCCTCTCACATATAGTAGTACATGCCACAGACCATCTTCATCCATCCTATATACATCATCAGTAGATATAAACAAAGCAGAGTTCAAAATGGACAGGTCCCCTCATTTCTTGTCACTATTATATCCACTCTATCACACTGCCCTATGTGTAAATGGCTGTAAAGGTGTAATTAAACCATGTTGGTATGAACTAGCAGTTGACCAAGTAACGAAAATTTTAAAAAATATACTATGCTCTTAACCTTTACCTGAAAGTGGAAATAACAATCACTATTATCTCTTTGAATGGCCCTAAATAGGAATTGAGAAATGGATTTACTTTGGCATTTTCTATGTCCCTGCTCTCATGAAGTTTATGTCCCTCTAATGAAAGAAGGTAATGGCAGGGAGTGATAAGAGGATAAAGTGATAAAGGAAAATAAATCAGGATAAGAAGATAAAGAGAAGTGGGACAAGTAAGGAATCTATTTTAAAGGTAAGAGTTGCCTCAGTAGCATCATCACCAGAGGGGAATTGCTTCCAGTAACTTTAAAACTTTAGTTATTTGAGAGGCTAAGGACATTAGGATTATCCTGAGGACAAAAGATCTACAAATAGGTTTTGAACAGTCATTGAATACTTAGTAATCCTGTTGCTATTTTGACCATATTATTACTTTGAAGCCATATGGAAAGAGAGAAAAGCTTAAACTCATATAAGTAAAAAAGAAACAAGTCACAAAAATGTGGAAAAGTGTGTTGATGCAAGTGGTGGTAGACCTAAGGAGACAGAATCCTTAGCCAGCAGAAGGAAACCCCAGAAGTAAACCAATTTACATGACAGAATCCCAAAAGGTCGAGTAATTCATGGAACTAGATACCTTTTTCAAAATGCTTGAAGGTAGGCTGAAACATGACTATTTTAAAATCAATTTAGAAGCAGTTAGAATTTCATACCTCTTACCCAACTCTATGTAGACAGGCAATGCCCATTCCCCCATTAGCGTAAATTAATATACAGAATATAACAGAGTCTCTGGACTGCAGAACACAAGGCAGAGAAGAAAGCAGTGCCATACAGTGGCTGATTGGAAAGAAGTGAGATTAACTGGTGAAATTTTACACAAAGAGTATCTATTCAGGTTTTCCCCACCCACCCTATATCAGATATGTAATTTTTAGGCAGAAGACTTGACTTTATTCACTGAGGGATCTGAGACCCAGATGAACATTTAGTGTAGTGAGACTGACACATACAGAGTTTTCAAGTCACATTTTATTTTCCATTCTTTATTATGAGCATATAACAATCATCAAAAATCCAAAGAAGGAACTTACTATGAAAGTCAAACTACAAAGGGCCTCCTGGTGGTGCAGTGGTTAAAGTCTCAACATTATCAAGCTATCACCAGCATGAGTTCCATCCCCCTAGCCAGGGAGCTGACCTAAGCATGAGTTCCATCCCCCTAGCCAGGGAGCTGACCTAAATGGCATAGCAGACCAATCTTTTGTTACCTGCTGCTCTCCTCAGCAGTGTATTTCAGTAGATCACCTGTTTTGCTCCCCACTCTGTGTGTGGTGACTCCTCTCACCCCTCCGCCCTGCATCTCTGGTCTACACCCTAATTCCTGTATGCATAAATAAAAATAAATCTTTTTTTAAAAAAAAAGAAAGAAAAAGACCACAAAACAAACTGGGGTGGGGGGCAGGGGAAGAATTAAACAAATATTTTTCAGGGAATTTTTTTTTAAACATTTATTTATGCATACAGAACTAGGGTATAGGCCAGAGGTGCAAGGGCAGTGAGAGGATTCACCAGAGACAGATTGGGGAGCAGAACAGGCCGACTGACCAAGTATACTGCTGAGGGAAGCAGAGGGCAGGTCAGGAGAGGTCTGCCGCACCATGTGGGTCACCTCCATGGCGGGAATTGAACTCATGCTGAAGTGGCTTTAGCTTCTTAGTGCTGTGCTTTAACCCACTGCGCCACCAGGAAGGGCCCTTTTCAGGGAATTTTTTAAAGTATAATTAATGAAATAAAACAAAATATTGCACCCTGAAATAAGAACAACACTCACAGGTGAAAAGAGAGATTCTGAAAATTAAAAATATATGAACATTGGGGCCCTCCCTGGTGGCGCAGCGGGTTAAAGCACTGCACTGAGAAACTAAAGCCACTTCCGCATAAGTTCAATCCCCGCCTGCCACGGAGGTGACCACATGGCGCGACAGACCTCTCCTGACCCGCCCGCTGCTCCCCTCAGCAGTGTACTTCGTCGATCTGCCTGTTCTGCTTCCCGCTCTGTCTCTGGTGAATCCTCTCACCCTCCACATCTCTGGCCTGTACCCCAGTTCTGTACGAGTAAATAAATAAATCTTTAAAAAAAAATATATATGAACATTGGAAAAACTCAACAGAATAAACTGCAGGACTTCATTTCTTATTACTTAATAACAATCTACTATACAATGTATAGAAGACCTTTTAATTATTCACTTTTTTTTATGGTTAGGTGCTCTGTCTTAATCATTTTATAAATCCAGTAATCTTACCTCCTCTGAAATCTAAAGAATATTATGTTGTGAATTATGACATGCATAAAGCTAATGAAATATATAGTTAAAAATGACAGTACAATGAATATTCATATATATACACCATCAAAGCAAAGAAACAAAAAGACAAATTTTTGATAAGTGTTGAATAGGTGACACATTCCTCCAAGGCTATTTCTAAGTACACACATGATAATATAAAACTAATATTCACTTACTACACCTTTTGTCAGTTTGCCTAAGACAGGTTAACTATTTTAGAGTTGTTCGTAATTTCAGCAGTTATGATGATAATTCAGTGAAGAAGTGAATGAAGTTTTATTTCTTTTTAATTTTATTTTTTATGGATCTAGTTAAGTGTTCTGAAAGTGTAGGATGTCCACCCTTGGGTCTGATCCCACCACCATCAACCATAGTACAATGGGCTTTTCCCCAACCCCACTGCTACCTGTTCTCAACGTCCCTTTCTCCCTTGCTCTATTGACCCCTCAGATTAATAAAGTCCTGCAATTTATCTGGAGGTAAAAATGCTTATGTGAAATAAGTCAAACAGAGAAAGAGAAATCTACATGATTTCATGCATATTTGGGATTTTAGAAATATCAAACATATAAAAACAAAGTAGAATGATGTTTGTAGGTCTTAGGGACTAGGTAAGTGGGGAGATATTGGTTGGAGGGTAAACTTTTAGTTATAAGACAAATAAGTTCTAGGAATTAATGTAAAATATGATGACTGCAGCTAATAATATCATAATATTAAAGTTTTCCAAGAGTAATTTTTTTTTTAAAGACACCTTTGTCTCTCTCAACATTTAGGGGATTTTTTTTTAAGGATTCATTTATTTAGTCATACAGTACTGGGGTACAAACCAAAGATGCAGGGGTGGTGAGAGGCTTCATCAGAGACAGAATGGGAAACAGAAAAAACAGATGTATGAAGTTCACTGCTGAGGGGAGCAGCTGGCAGGTCAGGAAAGGTCTGCCTCGCCATCTGGATCACCTCTGGGGGCCATCCGGGCAGGGGTGGAACTCACACTGAAGCAGCTGGGGCTGGATTGCAGTGCTGCTTCCTAACCCATTGTACCACCAGGGAGTGCCCTCCAAGAATAAATTTTAAGTGTTCTCACCAGTGGGGAAAAAACTGGTAACTGTGTAAAGTGATGGTATATTAATAAAATTATATACTCCTCAATATATATAACCCCTGGTGGCACAAAGGGTTAAAATGCAGCATTATGAAGTTATTGGCAACCACTGCAGCACAAGTTCCATTCCCAGCCAGGGAGCTGACCCACATGGTACAGCAGACCCCTGTCTTGACCACTGCTCTCCTCAGCAGTGTATTTCAGTCAGTCTGCCTGTTCTGCTCCTCATTCTGTCTTGAGTGAGTCCTCTCATCCCCCACATCTCTGGCCTGTGCCCCAGTTCTTGAATG